ATCCCCTTCCCCACGCGACAGACGCAGAAGGAGCACTCGCAGCCCATCTTTCTTCTCCGTCACCTCGTAGCTGTCGACAATGTGAGGTGACCGAGAGCTTAGGATCATCATGCTAACAGGCCAATCTGACCCTACCTGACGACAACTCACAGCGCAGGTTTCAAGCGTGCGAGGCTGTCGCGAGTGAGATCGGCAGGGTGATTACCTGCCGAGATTGTCCGATATCAGTGAACGCCGAGTGCTTGAGAAATGACCACCTTTCGCGAGAAACGGTATGCACACCTATAAAGCTATGCAGCATGCAGAATCAGCCAGCGGTCAGAGATTCTCTTCTTGCGCGCGTTGAGCCCTCACCGATCAAACTTGATCCGCCGAAGTCGTTGCAGCTGCGTCTTCGCCGACATGACGAGCTCAGGCTGTGCAGCGATGAGAGACGCCATTCCGACGATTTCGATCCTGATCTTTCCGACAGACCTGAGACCTGAAATGGTGGAAGAGGGACGTCGCTTTAGTTTCCTCGAAAAGGCCGGGTGGAATGTTGCGTCGAGGGAAGCGACGTGGCTAGCCAGCCCACTTACGTAGAACACGAACACCTGTCATCAGCCGTGGAGCAAAGCAGCAAGAGGAAAGCAACCACGTGATAAATGAAACATAATTGCACGTGCGTCATAAGCCATTCAGAGGTGCGAGCGTCAACAACCGGACTGAGCAAACGCTCCGTGCTTTGGCTTTGGGCACCTTCTTGTTTGCAAAGTCAACGCGAATCCTGGTCTGGGTGAAAAAAAAAAAAAAAAAAAAAAAAAAAAACGGGTCTTGCAGCAAATCTTTGCTAATTTGACGACGCATCTGACCAGGTCATTTCTTCTGCATCATCGGACCTGCTCGGGTCTACAAAGGGGTGGTTGCCCTGACGTGCTTTGCAGGCTCTCCACTGCTCTCTTGCCCTAAAGGGCATGTGTGATGGTTCGTAGCCCCAGAGGATAGGTTGCTGTCGTTTGACGTATCGGGTGGCTTTCTCGTCTGCGTAAAGGCTGAACAACATCAGAACCTGATAGAGCGCAGCCGTGTCATCGACCGCTCCAAAGTCGAAGCGTTTTGGCGTGCCTCTTTCTTCCTCATCTTCTTCGTAGCGCGAGACCTCAATGCTGTCAAGTGTTGCAGTCAACTGACTGATCGCCTCTAGCATCTTACCCTCACTCCTCGATCTATGCGATCGAAGGAGTGTGCTTGCTGATAAAGATGTTAACAAGATGTGGGCGAGCACCGTAAGAATTCTTACAGGTCCAAGGCGGGAACGGTTCGACAGATCGTCCTGCACTAGCAACAGAGGTACAGCGCAAATGGTCGCCAAATGAAGCCACGAGATAGGGGTTTGCTGTGCGACGAAGGCGTCCTGGGCGTGCATGATGGTTCGTCGAGGAGAGCGCCTTATCTGCAAATTACGGTCCTGTAGGATGCATTCTGCATGAAGTCACGTGGTGTGGCACGGTTTTTCATCACTTACTCCTGTAAACAGCGAAGGCCACCTTCACGCTCACCACGTACGGCGCCAGGAGCCACAACCTCTCCGGCACGTCGCCGTCCGCCTGTCTCCGTCGACTTGTGGAACAGATGAACATGTCCTTATGTTCTGCTCTGAACTGAGCCCCGCACTTTCGTCTCGCTTCGCGCTCATCCTTACGCTGGTTGATGCTGCGCTTTGCGTCTTATTGGTCTGCTGCGCTTTGGCCATATGCCGACGACAGCAGCAAGTCGAGGCAAGGCGAATTGAGGCTTTTCGCCGACTCGTTCAACGTCTAGAAAAAGCTGACTGGGACACACATCTACCATTATGGTGGAGTGATGCCTCCGAGTGGGAAGACTTTAATCCATTGCTCGACGACGACATCGATTGGAATCGGCATTCTGCGGTTGCAAAATTGTACGCTGCGAGCGCCTTCAATCATGCAATAGCACTGAAGAGGCTTGGTGCGTGGAGATCAAGCTCGACTCATCGCATGGATGGGGATGGGAAAATGGAAAGGAAGGAGGAAGCGAAGGATACGACGTCTTAATAAACAGTCTGACGGAGGGTCGAGGCGACCTGTCGTTGTAGCTCATTGGCACCTACATCACCTAGCGATCGGAGGAGAGCCTGTTGCAGTACATACAATTTGTGAAACCGCACCCTGAATTCTGACGTTTATCCCCAAGACAAGGATGGTGTACGCCCCTGGATATCGTCTGAGAGGCGGCGCCTTCTCGCTTCACATCGGTATGAAAAGCGGGTAGCATATTCAACTCTCTTGCAATTCGAAGAGCAACGCAAAATTTCTGCAGTGCATTTTACCGTCGAGACGGCTTGAATGGCTCCGCGAGCGCTATGACAGAGGCTTCGGACACTCATTTCTTCGCGACGCTTTGTGACTTTTTACAACTTTCCCGCGACTTTCCCGCGGAGGTGGGCAACATCAGGTCGCATCGGGCGGTTCTTTTCCTGGAAGCTCGAAAGCATGTATACCAGTAGCGCTGTCTGAATAGTTTGCGAGACAAACAGCCTTCTTGAAGACGACAGCACGGTAGCAAGCTTTCGCCAAGAGGAAGGGAAGACTTTAGCGTCACTGCAAGACTACCGCTGCAGGCACGTCGCGCTCACAAGAAAGTATGCGTTCATCAACTGTTAACACCCGCTTCCCGATCTCGACAAAACTGCGCTGATTCTTCGCGCGAGAGGGCACCGACGTTCTTGCTCCTGCTGCAAGGGTTTGGTTTGCAACATCAACGAGCTCTTCGAAAGTAAATGTCTCTACCAATTGAAGACCGCTACTCCTCGCAAGGCTGGCAATAGCACAATTTCATTGAGCTGTTTCAGCTTATCCCCGTCCGGCGCAAATGCGATGAGATGCCCCGGACCTACTGCACCTTCCAAACATACCTAATCAGGACGTCTTTCCGTACTGCGACTTCGGGCAGGTCGACGAAGGATCCATGAAGTGTGAAGAGATATCGACGATCACCGTTTCCTGCACCAAACTCCCCGCCGGGCTGCTTAAACTCAAAGAGGTCCCGCTTTATATAGCCGTTGTTGTGATTCAGTAAAGACCTGTATTGTTTTAATTGTAAGGAACGTCAACGCTTTTCCCTCTGCTGAAGAGATATCTTACCGGATGCGATCCCCGTCCGGTAAGGTACAGACGAAGTAACAATCCCTTCCAAGAAGGTGAGAGATTTTGAGAAGCGTGGATTGAAGCAGCTGGTTGGATGTGCAAACGTGCTGTAAGCTGCAAAAGCTCGATATGATGGCAAAAGGAGCGAGTGTGGCGATCCTCCTGTCAAGCAGCTGCCATAAGGAGGAGATTTGGACGTTTTAGCAATAGTCAGACGAAAGTGCTATGCCTTCTTGTCTTGATCTTGCACAGAGGGAAGGGGCGAGCTTACCTCGGAATGCCGAAGTGCCCTCAGTTCGACAGCAATACCATTTTTATGATCCCGATTGAGCTGCATTCGATCACATCCTTGTCTTATTAAAGTCGAAGATGCATCTTCGAATCGTCAGACGAGGGGCAGGGTGCATGAGATTAGTGGTCAGATCCTCCAGCAAAAGACAGATGAAGCTCACCCGTTCCGATATATCGTTGTACAGATAGGGAATCATAGCGGCGAGCATCCGCCCCTCGACCGCAGCCAATGTCGAGGACCTTTGTGAACTTGGTTATAGTTAAGATCGTACGCGTCCCTTTTTGTACCGCGCCTTACCTTGTCTGCTCCTACTACACAGTATCTTTCCAAAAGATGACTTTTGATAAAGTTGGTGAGGAGCGCGAAACCGTGGCTCATACGGAGGTGGCGTTCGTTGGATGGTACGTCCGGTCTCTTCGAGACTGTATACACAGACCGTTGCTTAAGCATATTGCCAATAGCGGGAATCGCAGTAGCCAAATTTCTGCCAACCTACAGATCTTATCGATTTCGGCACTGGCGCTGAGGTCATCAGGCACTTCGTCAACCGACTGGGAAGGACGCAACATTCCTACGAGGATTGCGTCGCTGCGATTGGTGTCGTCCTTCCTACGAATTCGAAATCGGGATGTGGATGCTAGTGTGGAAGCTTAGTCTTCGAATGATCAGACGGAGATGTTATACTTGAAAGGGAGCACAAGGTCCTCAAACTCGCACAGGCCCCGTGCGAAGGTCACGTGGTCGCAGCAATTTTAGTCGCGTTAGTGTTCCTCTCAAACATCGTCTCCTGATAACCATGATGGATGAAAGGCAATGGACAACGAACGAGAGCTGGGACGACGACATGCTAAGCCTTGAGAGATCACTCCACGAAGTTTCCACGTCAGATTCCGGTGCTGTAGATCAAGAAGCTGAAGGTAATGATTTGTCCGACGCTCTTGAAGTAAGTGATATCTTCGGCCCTCGCATCGATGCTTGTCCCTTACTAAGTCTTCTTCGTTTTGTCTCATTCAAGCAAATCATCACAACGAGGTAAGCCGACTATCAGGCTACTATGTCGATGTGTTTTGCTAATGACGGCGCTGATGCTCGTCTAGACTTCAACGAGACACGGGCGACTTGTCCAAGTGCGGTGGAGACATTGCGGTGTCAGCGTGAGTCTTTGCCTTCTCTTCTTCCATGTAATGCTAAGAGATGCTTCTCAAAATCAGTATGATTGAAATTCTTCGAAAGCGTGGCTATTCTATCAAGGCTCCCGAAGAGAGCATTGGTCTTCCAACGAGTCAGACAGATGTTCTTGCGATATCCGGGTCGGGAAAAGCCACACCGGCTGCTGCTTTCCGTGATGCAGCTCAATCTCTCAACGCGCACAAAGCTTTTAAGAGGACATCGTCTACCAACGAGCCTCAAAAAGCCGAAGCTACAACATCCTCGCTCACCAATCTGGCGGCCCTCGCTCTCCCGCAGGACTTCGAAGATGGTCAGTGCGGTACGTGGCGACTTAACAAAACTATTGGCTGATCAAAGGTTCTTTCTAGAACGAGACGTGCTGGACGCGGTCTATACTGCTCTAAAAAAGGAACTCAAAGAACTTGCCCACGAAGATGGGCGAGAATCATCTCATGTTCGGTCACGTAGCCTCGAAGCTCGTATCATTCGTGCTGTTCCTGAATGTTACAGCCGCTTACGGATTTCGACCTTCAAGGAACTCTTGAAAAAGATGCAAGGGAAAGGCTATACAGTGAAGTATAGTCAAAAGCGTGGTGAGGTCTTCAAGGTGCATCTAGGGTGGCAAGAGAAAACCGAGGTGAGATTTTGAGGAGCTTTTCGCAAATAGGTACTCATGAAGATATCAATCATACAGAACCACTCCTCGAAAACTTCAAGTAATGGAAAAACGGCGCAAAAAGTCTCAGGTTGCGAAGAAGATGATGTGGTGAAGCTTGTCGAAGCAGTCGAGAGTAGTCTAACGTCAAAAGGGAAAGCTCCAGCCTGCACGGTCGAGAAAATTCTGCGGTCTGAGATACCGGATCTCTACAACCGAACACCGACAATACGCTGCTTCAGTCATTACTTGATGCACATGAGGAGCATAGGGGCACCAATACGATTTGAGCAAGCAGAGGGGCGGCCGACATGGATCTACTTTCTCTAGTCGGCATACGGCGGTCTTTCACAGCTGCAAGAAACACTCGGGGTTCACCTGTATGTCGAAGAGTATACCTATCAAATTGGACTCAGCAAGTGATTCGCTAACCGACCACGAGATCTTGAGAGTAGAAAGTTTAATGTCAATCGTAATCGCATGAAATGACTAGCAGAGACGGATAGGAGAAAGGAAAGTGAGCTACGATCCATGAACGTCAAGTAAGACTTCCGATAATATCATCCAACGAGGGGCATCGGGATTGTCTCGTCCCTTCCCAAACCAAGGCTTCCGTGATCTCTTGACTCCGAGTCTCGAGCGCGACAATCCGGAGTTTATCTCTGAAAATGATATCGTCTCGTGGGATGAGATGAATTTGCGAAACGTCACGAGGACGCTTGAGATTGTCCGACATTGCTGAAAGCTCATGCTGGATGAACATCGCTCTAAGCTCTGTACGACGCCGGCAGTGAAACTAACATACGATCTGCGTGAGGTAAGTGTATATGGAAACGCCATCAGAAGAACACTTACTTCAATCCGCAGGACAATACCGGTAGAGTCCGAAGAAACGAAATTGTCGGCAATGGCGTCTCTTGCGGAATTGGAATGCCCTTGTGTCTCGCTCAATTGCGTCTGTGGCTCTTGAGCCATACTTATGTACTTCTCCACTGTTCGCCACCGATGTGGATGCAAGAGGTAGATGGTGAAGGACGGAACACGGAAGCCTCTCCAAATTACCGTGCCAAGTTCCTCCGTGAACGCTTTTTGGCACGTGTTTTTTGATTACTCAGCATTCTGCTACGCCATCCTCAATAGCATGATTTTTTGGGGGCATTACAAGGGCCCTGGACAGGCCAATGCTCCCCTAAAAGAACGAAGGGGAAAAACAAAGTTATAATGTACTTGTCATAGGACCGAGTTTGTTGCTGTCATGGCGTGAAACGAGTCAAATTGGGGCGTTTTTGCGCTCCGCGAACACTCATTCTGGGCGGCGTCGTCCGTCTCTGCCGCAGCTCTGAACCACCATATCTCTCTCCAATCGCCTCCAATGCCTCCCAAAAAAAGCCAAGCTCTTGCTGAGATCACCCTTAATGAATCTATGGTCCAAGAAGCGGTGCAAAAGGTACGCAATGGAGCGTCAACAGCCTTCAAAGCAGCAAAGGAGTACGGTGTCAACCGCCACAAGGTCCTTCGACGTCTTCGAGGCATTCCTTCAGCACTAGAGGCAATGAAGCAGAGAAAGAAGCTCTCAGACATAGAGGACAAGGCACTGTGTGAGTGGGTGGTGCGGTGGGGCATCTTGGGATGGGCTCCAACAAAGGAGGAGCTCGAAGAGCATGCCAGCATGCTTGCAAAATTGCCATTTGCCCCAGGATGGGCTAATCGGTTCCTGGAGCGACACAAAGAGTTCAGCTATCGCCGAATCAATGCCCAGACCGAGGCTAGGATCTGGGCATTGACCTTGCCAAAGATTGAAGCGTACTATGAACTGGTGAGTTGAGTTATTGCTTTGCAAATCTAAGGGTCATGCTGAAAAAGGCTGTGTTTATTTCTTGAAGCTGCAGCAGGTTGTCACAGAGCGTAGCTTGACCGCCGCAAACATTTTTGGCATGGATGAGACCCCCAAGTACCTGTCCAAGACCACCAGGGCAGAGAAGAGGCGCATATTGGCTTCAGGAGGCCGCAACGAAGAGCCCACGCAGAGGGGTGGAACCGCAGATACTTCAAAGGCCAGTGTTATTGTGACAATCTGCGCTGACGGCTCTCTTCTTCCACCGACGATTGTGTTCAATGGCAAGAACCGACAAATGGATGTCTTCCAGCATGCCAGCACACTCGGTGACTGGGTTATTGAGTGGAATCAGCATGGCTCAAATAACACAGAGGTCATGCTGCGCTGGCTCGACTCTTTTGACAGGGCTACAGAGAAGAAGAAGAGTCCCTCTGGATGGCGACTGCTGCTCTTCGACAATGTCGCATTCCACCTTGCTGCAGCGGTGATACATAAGGCGGAAGAGATGAACATTGAGATCATCACATACCCCTCGAACGCCACCCATGAAATGCAGCCACACGATGTACTCGCTTTCAAGAACTACAATGATGAGTTTGAGAAGCTCAAAGCCGAACGGAAGAGACTCAGCATTGGTACCTGCAAGTTGGCTTTCCTCAGCATGCTCGACGAGGCCCGTACAGTAGGCATGCGGCGCAGTATCATCCTCAAATCATTCGAAAAGACCGGTATCTGGCCAATCAATCCTATGAAGATGCCTCGAATTCATCTTGCACCAACGGATCGGGTGCCTGTAAAGGGAGAAGCAACACCACAGCAACTGCTGGATGCCTTTGAAAAGAAGCTGCTGGAACTGCCTCGACTTAGAGCCGACATCAAAGAGGATTTGCGGAAAATGTTCAAGCAGGAACTTGATGGACGTCTCCGGGTAGAGCTCGACAATGCGGGCAAGGACACTCTCATTGAGGGGCTCCGAAGCTCCCAGAAGAGGAAGAGAAGCGATACCTTTGTTTCTCAGCCCAACCGATGGAATACAGCGACTCTACAGGCTCGCAAAGCGTCGGGATCAACCCTTTCATCCAAGGCAAAAGGGAAGCAGCGCGCAACTGAGGCAGAGATCACTGCAGAAGCGTCGGAGGAGGCTCCAAAGACCACCAGTCAGCTGCCCAGGACCCTGCCTCTCTGGGAAGGATATCCACCAAATCTGGCAGAGTTTATGAAGGACTTTGTGACCTATAACGCGGAGGGCCAAGAAATGCTGAGGTCATTCAAGGCAAAAAACCAAGGTGCAAGTGGATCAGGATCGTCTGGACAATCCTGAATATAAGATCCCCTTTAAATCCTGGCAGTACACACTTGATGTATTCATGCATCTTCACTCCAAACTTGAATGCATCATACTTTTTATTGATTGACTTTGCCTATCAGAGAAAAAGTGATGCACGTCAACAGCATGAATTTTCGGATTTTCAGTTGGGAGTAGTACTGTAAAATTCTCTCATTCTTGCCCGTTCTCAGAATTTTACGAAGTGAAAATTGTCCTTCTTTTGAGAGGATGCGTGCATTCAACAGGTCTACTAGCTTGCCAAATCATAAGCTATAACACACACTCTGGATGCCGCAGCAGGCGTCGAAGTAAAAGCGTTCGCGGAACATTTTTTCAATTAGTAACGTTCGCGAGATGCCACGCGACGGTATGACCAAGTACGGTCACGTGAGTGATCTTCTATATATAACGGGACCTCTTTGAGTTTAAGCAGCCCGGCGGGGAGTTTGGTGCAGGAAACGGTGATCGTCGATATCTCTTCACACTTCATGGATCCTTCGTCGACCTGCCCGAAGTCGCAGTACGGAAAGACGTCCTGATTAGGTATGTTTGGAAGGTGC